ATCCTTCTCCGTCACTCTCGCCTTCTTCGTGGAATTGTTCTGCTTCGAACTCATCGGATCCGGTACCCATAACGTCATCTCGCTCGAACGGATCCTCCGCAGTTCGGCTGCCGGGACATATTCCTGCATTCTAGCCCGATAGGGTAGGATCCGGAATGGCGCTACGCCACGCCTGATAAACGTTCCATCAAGTTCTCGAATCACATACGATCCGCCCTTTGATTTTCCAATGACTTGGAAAGGGCCTAGATACCTGGGTTTTGCTTTCCGATTGTGTGATTTCTCAATGGCCGTGTTTCGTAATAGGACAAGGTCGCCGTCCTTCAGGGGATCTTTGAGAAATCGGTGCTCGTACAGTTCTTCCCATCGTTGCTTAGACCTAAGGCGTGTGTTCTTGACCCGGGTAGCAGCTCTCTGGAGGTCTTCTGGTCGCTTTTCGAGTTGTCGAATTCTGAGGGCGAGTAACTCTGTACGGGACATTCCGGTCTTCCATCCTTCAATCATGTAAGTCGCTTCTGTAAGATCAAACGGAAGCACAGGGTCTACTCCATGCATCATGTAGAAGGGACTGAATCCTGTACTTTCCCGGGTGAGCACTTTGTCAGCAAAGAACGCATGGTGAACCTTTTCTGGCCATTGATTGATATTGCCGTTGCATGACTTGAGGATAGCTTCACGAATGATGAAGTGTCCACGTTCTACTACTCCATTTCCTCGAGAGTTATACGGGAAGATCTTGATGTGAGCAATGCCATACATGTCTACCAGTTGTTCGAATGCGTCTTGAACTTCCTTTCCATTGTCGGTGATTACTTCGGCAACGGCGCCATATCGACATATGATCTCTTGCCAGAAGAATTTCCGAAGGCTAGCAGCATCAGCTCTTTTGAGTGCACGGCCTTCCGCTGCCTGTGTGAGATCGTCTCTAGCTGCAACTATATAGCGATACCCTTGTGCCTTGGGCATAAACATGATGTCAACATAAATTCGAGTAAATATGGTTGAAGGCACTCTGATAGCCAATGGTACATCAACCTTCTTAGTGCTGCAGATCTGACATTGATGACATGTTTGTACGTGGTGTTGTACGTCCTGATACATTCCTGGCCAATAGAATCTGAGCTTAACGGTTTGAAATACAGCTTCTATTCCACGGTGACCGAGGCTCTCATGTGCTTCCAGGAGAATGTTCTGGCGAATGGTCTTATCGAAAATAACTTTTGCCGGTGGTGCTGTCCGACGCTTCTTAAACATTGCTCCGTGTTCTGTGAAGAACTGTGCTGCCTTGTTTAGGAATCGTTTCTTGGACGTGATATCTGCAAACTCTGGCAGCTGTAAGTCTTCTAAGAATGCCTTGATTTCTAACAACCTTAATTCTGCCGGAGTCATACTGTCAATTGGGACCTTGAGGATGTTTTCTCCTTGTGTGGTGACAGCTAGTGCAATGCTGTCGAGCCATTCGTCCGCTGTTTCTGGGGAATCATCAGGGTTCTCAGAGTCTTCCGGCAGTGGCTCTCTACGAGACAGCGCATCAGGGGCTTGGTGGCGCGTTGCCGGAACATGTACGAGTTTGAACGGGAACATGAGAATGCCTTGGATCCATCGATTGATTGTGGCATTGGGGAAGCAGTCCAGGTTGTTAAGCATCTGCTTGATGTATAAAGTGTCCACTTCCACTTCCAGGTTCTTCACTCCTGCTAGATGTAGTCTGAAGTGCCGTAGCGCCCTGAATAGACCATACAATTCGAGTTTGGGCTGACTATAGTTGGCTTCTACTGAGTTCATGGGTATGGAGCCATATCGAGCTGGTCGCTTCTTGCTGTTTTCGTCTCGTTGAGATAACACGAACCCGACGGCTATTTGGCTTGAGTCGACCGATAGCACTACCGTTCTAGGGGATGTGTAATCAATGGGCATGAGGGCAGGCGCGCTACATACTTTGTCTTTGAGTGTCCTGAATGCTTGGAGTCGCCTTTCATCCCACTCAACTTCGGCATCCTTCCGTACCATCTCTGTCAATGGGCGCGCATGCAGTGAGTAGTCCTTGATCCATATCCGCACTGTCCCACAGAGTCCTAGGAATCCCCTAATAGCTTTAGTAGTCTGGGGAAGGGGCCACTTCCGTATTTTCTCGATTGCCGAATCATTGGGGTACCGTCCATCAGGTGTGCATTTGTGCCCTACTACCAGTACTTCTCGCTTGCAAATTTGCGTCTTCTTTCCTGAGAAGGTCGCTCCGGCTTCTCCGATGCGGTGCATGATCCGATGAACATCATTGATGTGTTCCCACATAAAGCGTCTGATACCGGGGTTATTGCGCAGTGTTTCAGGGTCGCCCTTCTTGTCCAGGTACATAGTAGTCGGCCCTTTGATAGGTAGGTCATCTATGAAGATGTTGGCTACATGCGGTATTTCGTCCTGTAGGATGAACATCATACAGGCTTGGAATTCTGCTGGGCTATTAGTAAATCCCATGGGCAATGATGCAATGCGCAGCAGGCCTAGAGGTGTCATAAATGATGTCATGTCCCTGCTTTTGGGGTCAAGTTTCCTTGCATAGAATCCCCAAAATAGGTCAAACACCGTATACACGACTCGTCCTGCGAAGGGTTCAACAAAGTCATCCAGATTGGGGGGTAGTCCTGCATCCCTAATAGTGACCGCATTGAGTGGTTCTAGATTGTGCACTATCCGAAGCTTGCCATTTTTCTTTGCTACGCAGAACCATTTTGACCGATATGACGATTGACTTGGTTCGTATACTCCATGAGCGATAAATTCCTTGAGCATGCGGATAACTTCCTCTCGGTGTCCTGGTGGTATGGGTATATTCGGATGCTCCCAAGGGACATGCGGTTCCACAGGGATAATATATGGCGAAAAATAGTTGTCTCTAAAAATTCCCCTTTCATGGTCTTCGAACGCGAGCGCACGTTCATTCTTAACTAGAACATGCTTTATCAGTTTCTCCTCTTCTGGCCATAAGTAGTGATCACTATTTATGTCCATAGCATTCATGCGTTCTTGGGTTATTTTCTGAGTTGGAGTAAAATCAGGTGGGCGCTCCGGTAATTTTGTCAAGCCAGTCAGAGGGTTGCGAGGAAACTGCCTGGTTACCTTGGCATCTTCTGGGTATACTCCAGGTACTGGCTTGATTTTCCTGTCAACTCGTTTGTACGCGCCAAATACTAACACGGGATTTTTCACAAGTCCATGTTTCGGTCCCGTATCGCCAATCCGCCCGGTTTGGCCAAATTCCTGGGTCACTTTCTCACGGTTACTAGACAGTCCATTCGAGGATTTATATGCCTGGCTGTCAATATCATCCTCAGCCCTCATCTGTACTGCGTTAGAGCTGAAATACGACGTCTGTGAGTTAAGGTATATTATTTCGGGCTGATTTTGCACATTCTCCGGTAAGTCGGCCACATCTCCGAGCCATATCGCGGTGACCCACTCATCCTCCGTAGATTCAAACTCCGACGGCCCGGTGGGTGGCGCTTCAGAAACTCGAAGTCCGAGGCTCAAGATTTCCGGTAGTTCGCTAGGTAAGTCATTCCATGCATTCTTGATATCATTTCTCATAGGATACATGAATTTCCGGGCAACAGGGGAGGTTTCTACGCTACGGGGAACTTTCATAACCGAGGCGGAGGAGTCGGGGAACTGGCGGGACTAGGGATACGAGTTCGCGAGGCCGGGGAGGGTAATACATGTACATAGTCCAAATCAATATCGCGTACAGTCGATCGCAAGTCCGAGCGCATACTTCTCGTAGTCAGGGAGCGACGCAGGCCGGTGCGGGTGGAACGGTGTGGTTGCGAACATGCTTGGGGGCGCGTAGCGTCTTGAGGAATCGTTGCGGCGGAGTCTTCACGGCTGGAGGTCGTTGTAGTCGGCGGCGGATATGTCGATGTCCGAGCTGGAGCTTGACGAGGAACGGAGGATATGGTCGACTTGGCGATAGTTAGCGAAGGCGGCGGTTTGTCAGTAAATAGGAATAGCGCACCGTCTACTTCGTCGCCGTCCTCTGGCGTCCAGTTCCAAGCCTCGACATTGGTGCGGATGGCGTTGATGTCGAGCTGAAGGTCGAGTATGTCGCCGGTGAGTCGGTCAACGAAGTTGCGATGGTCGGTAGCGTATTCGGCGACGGCGTCGGACGTGGCTGCAACCTGTTCGAGAACTTGCGAGAGAGCCGCTTGCATGGCTTCGTGCTGAGTGCGGGCGGTGCGATAGAACGATGCGTGGCTGGAGAGGAGCGTGGCGATCGCGGCCACAGTGAACTGAGTGGCCTCGGTGAGCTCGCATATCCGGTCATACATGACCCGGAACATGCTACGTCCACGGCCGGCGGGGGTTTGGGGACGTTCTTCGCTCGCAGGAGTCGTCGTGTCCGAGCGCGAGAACGCTGGTACGGGGCCGCTACTAGAGGGTTCGAAAGGATGAGCTTCCGGCGATAAGACTGAATTCAGGTAAACGTACCTGGGGTCTTGCTCGTTGCGCCAGATAGACGGGGGCGGCGTCACCGTTGTGCGCTCGGTGGAGGTCGGGTAGTTGATGGTGAGGCGGTCGTATTCGGCGAGGTGCGTTTCTTCGTCGACGGTGGGCAACTCAGGTGCGTCGCCTCCCTCGGGGCCGGGGAGACATGTCGCCGGATCGTTGATGTTGTTGCTCCATCCGTCGGCGAGAGGGTAAGTGATGTGGAGGTAATCAAATAGAGCCTCGTCGAACCAGAGGTATGGGTCGGAGTTTCGCAATGCTTGCGTCGAGGGGTAGTCGTCCTGAGAGGGTAACAGAGGGATTTTGATGGTGAACGGAGACTGTCGTTCGGCCGGGTCCCGGGGTGCGTCGAGGAAGAGGTGATATCGTTGCGAGGGCGGATAGTCTGCCGGGGCCGGTTCAGGAGTCGGAGGCGCGGACATTGGACGGAAGAGGGATGGGTCGACCTGCGAGAGTGCGTGGACGGTGCCGCGGTACCCTGGAGGCGTCTGAAGTCGCATGGGGATCTTGATCCGGTTGGCGCTGGTCGGAGACTCGTCGATGGGAATCAAGTAACCGTCGGCGCGATAGTACGGCATGCCGGGGTCGTTGAGGATAACGTTCGTGGGCGGGAATCAGAGCCGATGCCCTACGCTGATTTCGATTCCTTCCATCGGCGGTCGAGGTGTGGGCGGGCGGTCTTCAGCTGCGGGTCCTTCCGCGATCCTGAGTCTGTCGAGGCGTTGTGAGAGCTTGTTTCCGGCTAGAGGTGCGTGTTGAGGTGTCGCTAGCGGATCGGAATGCCATAAGTGAGGTGGGACCGGGGGCGATAGAACGAGTGCATTGGCGCGCATGGGGCCCTGAAGGTCGGATGCGTCCATGTCGACATCGGGCGCGTCGAGATGGTGCCGTCGTGCTTGCATTTCTGCGAGCTCCTGAGTTGACATTAGTACCGGTGAGTTTGTGAAAGCGTAAGTCAATCGGCTTACCTGTTCACGGGCTCGGTTGCTGATAGCTTGATGCGAGACCCGGGCCAGCAGTTTGAACAATCCATGGCTGAAAAGAAGGCGGGGCATGTCGTCGGGATTGTAGTACATAGCCCTGAGATGTTTTCCTGCCAGCCTAGGGTCGCGGTCGTCGACGAGTTCGAGAACGTAAGTGCAAGATGTCGGATAGTCGCGTGCGGGCGGGTCGGGCGTTGTCGGTGCAGATAGCGGGCGGTAGATGCGAGGCATCTGTTTTGAGAGGTCGTGGATTGAGCCGGGAAGATTGGGCGGTGAGGCGGCGCGAATAGGGACTTTGACTCGAAGGGGGCTGTCGGGCGGTTCCCCGACGGGAATTGCGTATCCAGCGGCGGCGTAGTATTCGTCGGGGAGGGCGGGGAACTCGCCGTTGAGCAGAGCTTGTTGAAGCTCTTCGTCCTGTACTTGCGTCGTCGGAGGGGAACCGTTCTTCGGTGAGTCGATGCTAGAAGCCTCGGATTGCGCTTCTCTCGTCATGCCGACGAGAATGTTGAAGTCATCCTTGACAAAGTACATCCGGGGCGTCGAGTCGTCGGTGTGGTGAGGTGAGATGTTTTCTCCGCGCAGAGGCTGCCGGCTGCTTCGGAGCATGCGGCCACAGAGCCTGAGGTCGCCGTGCGGTACCAGTTCGAGGACGTACGTTCTCGAAACATGGTACTGGCTTTCAGGGGGTCGAGGTGTCGAGGGTGCGGATAGCGGTCGGAAAACCAGAGGGGCCGCGATGGCGAGGTCGTGGATAGAGCGAGGGAATCCTGGAGGAGACGTGGCTCGGATCGGCAGCTTGACTCGGTGGTCGCTCGAGGGCGGTTGGCCAATAGGAATGGCGTAGCCGTCCTCGCGATAATACCCCAAGAGCTCGGGGTAAGGGTCGATCCCGTCTTCTCGGAGACGGTCCACCGCTTCGTCGAAGTTCTTGCGATATTCGAGGCTGCCCTGTGAGTTCTTGTAGTTAGAGGCCGTAGGTAGTTGAGAAAGAAATCGACTTACGCTTTCGCGGAACGGGCGAAGCGCAAAGCCAACTGATAATATCTGAAATAGGCCTTCGCTGATATACAGCAGCGGGGTCTGTTCGTTGACCCAGTGCGGCGCAATGGGTTCGCCAGGGCCGGGAAGTCGGCTCGGCTTGAACGGGTGGCCGTTAAGTCGAGGGTCGTCGCGAGGGACCAGCTTGATTACATAGGTGGACGAGTGAGGGTCGTCCGGCGTAGCGGGTTCCGGGGTCGTAGGCGCCGAGAGAGTCTTGAAGTACGAGCGGTCGGAGGCCATCAGGAGATGGATCGAGTTTGGGTAAAACGGGGGCGATTCGGCATGGATCGGGGCTTTGAACCGATTCTCGCTGAATAGAGGGTCGCCTAGAGGGATCAGGCAACCGGCTGCCCGGTAGTACCCAGGGAAGTCGACATCTTCGCCTATTCCTTCGGCCTCCGTGACGATGGGCCGATAGTCTTCGTCGTCGAGGACGCGTCCGGTGAGTGGGTGCGGTGTGCTCAGGAACTGAATAGAGCTGGCGTGTAGCGTGTTCGACGAAGTGTCGAGGTTCGTAGCAGGGCAGGGCTGCGGAGCATAGATCTTCGCCGGCGAAGGGGGAATCGGGTCCGGAAGGCGAGTCCAGCCGCCCTCCTCTCTGCCGAATCAAAGAATTTCCGTGAGTTCAGCGTCAGAGAGGGGGGCACGAGTAGCGTACATCATATTGTCCTTGAGTCCTATATCGAGCGGTCCGTTGACTGTCGCGTTGGAGCCGGGTGTGGGCCGTTGCGAGAGAGTCGTCGAGGGCGAAGAATCCAGTTGAGAAGTCGTTTCTTGAGGCGGAGACGGGTACGCATTGAGCGTGAGGTTCGTCGTCGAAATCTTGGGTTGCGCATGAGACATAGGGGGCGGATTCGAGTGAGGCGTGCAGTTTGATAGACTAGCAAAGGGTAAGCGAGTGTTTCTGGTGACTTGGGTGTCCAGACACGCACCTGAGCTTTTATGCTCGTCGCGAGAGCCTGGACCGCTTGTTTCATGAGTGAGCCATACGTGTTGCCGAGGATAGCCGTAGGATTGCATAGCGAGTTTGACGAGCGGCGGTTCCACAGTCTTGCCGTCGAGTGGGGCCGTCCTTTCTCGTCGAGAGTCGGAGTATGCCTGGATTGCGTCTGGGTAAGCCTTGCCTCGCGCCGACTGGTTCTGATGGCATGGAGCGAACTCACCGATCGTCCTGCGCAGCGCCCTGGTTCGGGAGTCGAAGGGGGTATCTTGCCTTCGGGAGTCATCCGCGGTATTGTCTGGGTGGTGCGCGAGGTTTCGCGATGTCGACGCCTCGTTCCTGTTTGGTCGTGTCGCGAACAGGCGGCTTCCAATCTCGACAGAGCGGTACCGAACAGACTGGAGGAGAGGAACGCCGCTCGGATTAGCCTGCGGAGTACGTGAGATGGGGTACCGGGTATACCTCGTTATCGCGTCCTCCGTGCTTCTAATATCCTTGCTAGGTTCGCTTGGTGGTAACCCCGTGTCCCGCTCGCAAGGTAGGTGCGGCATCTGGTCGGAGCGTCGAAACAGCCCTGGTTACCTTTTTTTTCTAATTAAGAGGGCAACATCCACAAAGCTGGTGTGTACATATGGTGGCTAGTACAGAAAATTATACTATGTGGCTAAGTTTGGAGACATCAAGTAATAGACTGGTTGGATACAGCCCTGCATACATGACCGATTATAATAGACCAGCTGGATACAACACTGCGTATGGGACTGAGCATAATACATTGGGTGGATACAGCCTCACGTACGGGACTGAGCATAATACACTGGCCTGATACAGTGCTGCGTACATGACAGAGCATAATACACTGGGTGATACAGCCTGGCGTACAGGGACTGAGCATAATACACTGGCTGGATACAGCCTCATGTACGGGACTGAGAATAATACACTGGCTGGGATACAGCCTACACGTACGGGACTGAGAATAATACACTGGCCTG